CGCAGTGGATATATACATAACGAACCAACTAACTCCACAAGGTAGAACAAACTTATGAGTTTCAACAAAGGCGTCCTGTCACTAAAAGTAACGCAATACAATGTTCTAAGCTGGACTCCTCGCAGAGCAATGGAGCTCACATCTTATTTATCAACATATATCCTCTCATAATAATCAGCCGGGAAAAAAGAAAGCAGGAAAGATAAGGACATTCATATACTAAACTTATCAGGTCAACAGAGCTGACCAGGCCAACGTCAGAACAGCAATTGCTGTCAGGAGAAATTCTCGACACACAAAACACTAGAAAATTTCCAAGGATAACTAACTTCCTGACTATTGAACTCCAAACGATTAATGGTACAAATTTTATTGGAATGTGCTCCCGACCACGAAGACGATCTTACCTCCCCATGACCGATATCATGAAACTTAGCAGAAGAAGAAAACCTGCCTATTTCCCATGAGATCTGAATGCAAAACACAGAGCCTTGGGACATGTGAGAAACAACCAGGCAAGAAAGGCAAAACGTTATATGATAAGATACACAAATTTAACACATCAACTAATTACTTTAGACTATTTCTAAATAGTCAATTTAGACTATTTCAATTTAGACTTTCTAAATAGTCTAAAGTGACAGAGGCAGACGAGATATATTGCTGTCAAATAACCATCACATCCTGAACACCCGCATAGAAAGAACACCAGCGAGCAGAAGAGACCATCTACCAATAATGATGACTATCAACGAACCCAATAAAGAAACCCTCACATCCAATACTCCAATATACAAACACTAATTGGGAGGCATTCAAAAGCACCGCAGAGGAATTCAATGTCACGGACTTTAGAGGCAAGGAAACCGCGAGCATAAATACCGAAATAGATAAATCGAAAACTACCATAGAAAAATGCATGAAAAACATATTCCCGTTGCTCATCACATGAAGCTCCCACACACACACTGTTGCATCACAGCACTACAACTCACATATGACAACCTCCTACAACTTGTAATACACAACGGATAGATTGGCGAGCGCAAAAGACTACAAAGGGGGAGTTTATGCGAAACAAATTACACCAAAAATATACCTGGTTGATACCTGGTTGATGGGGTTCTGGGAGTTCTTCTACTCCCCAAGCCCGGCTCGAGGCCAGGCTCGACTTGTGAGAATTTGGTCCACCAGGCTGTTGCTTGGAGCGGCAACCAAAAATAAGAGATGATCAAATAAACCAAATAGAGACGGATCATAAAAACCCAAGAAAGTTTGGAAAAAAGTAATAAAAAAATCTGATATGAGCTTCATCCGAGGAAACACCTAACATCAAAGACGCCTCAGGAAACAAACTTTACGAAGACAGACAACAAGAACATACAGTAAATTGAGGAAGTACTGGAAAAATATTCTAAATTAACCTTCAGGAAAATCGTCAACTTTTGTCCCAACAAAGAAAGATAAATTAAAAATCTAATCTATAAAAAGAGCCGCAACATTACTTTCAACCAAACAATAGACCTTAACAACACTCACAATGAGAACCACCTTATGAACAACATAGTCATCGCTCAGGTAAAGAACATATGTTTTAACAAAAAAAAGTCTCTGGCATTAGCGAAATAAATTGTTATTTACTAACCTCCCCAGTGACTGCAATTCATCATTATACACTAATAATGAATACAGCACTTGCATCCGGATTCATCCCCACATACTTCAACAATGCCACTATCAGACTGATCTCTAAGTCGAAAACCCCCTCAACCCAAGCAGAAAATTAGTGAAATTTCTGGTCACGAAGCACCAGGTAAAATATTCTACAAAATTAATTAAATAATTGTTCACCTCCCCTGTTCACCCCCTTTACAGTGTTCACCTCCCCTGTTCACCCCCTTTACAGTGTTCATCTCCCCTGTTCACCCCCTTTACAGTGTTCATCTCCCCTGTTCACCCCCTTTACAGTGTTCATCTCCCCCCAGATTTCCCCTCCCCTCAGTATTCATCTCCCTCACCCTCCCCTCCCAAGTGTTCATTTCCCTAGCCCTCCCCTCCCTATTGTTCCACCTTCCCAGCCCCCCCCCCTGTCCAGTGTTCATCTCCCCAGTCCCCCCCACCAAAATGTTCATCTACCCAGCCCTCCCGTCCCTTCCCAGTGTTCATGTCCCCAGCCCTTCCCTCCTCAGCTCTGCCACTCAGGAGCAAAATGAGAAGTTTCGAATCTCGGGGATTAATAATCCATTGATTTTCTCCGACTTTAATTATTTCCCCGAGTCCTCGATGAGCACTATGGGTCCAGACCTGTCTCTAAGGGGTTGGAGGGGGGGTTGATGTGGGCCCAGACTTGTCTTCAAGGGGAGTGGCAGCGGGATATGGGCCCAAACTTGTCTCTAAGGGGAATGGGGGGAGTTGAAATGGGCTCAAATTTATCTCTGAAGGGTTGGGGGGATGTGAGTTGATGTGGGCCCAAATTTGGCTCTATGGGAAGAGAAGGGAAGGGAATTATCAAGGGAAAGTGCCAAGCCATTACGACTATATAGCACCGAGAAGGGAGTCAGGATAAGGATTTGAGATGGGACGGGGAAAGGAAAGGAACGGTGCCCAACCAATTGGACGGTCGGGGATTGAACGCCGACCTGCAAAAAGCGAGACCGTCGCTCAAGTTCAAGTATGTTTATTGAGATAAGAAAGAAATACATCTCAAAGGGATAGAGTAGCTTAGGCTATTTCTACCCCCCCCCCCCCTGGACCGTCGCTCTACCGTCCCGCCCAAGTGCTTGTTGTCTCTATCGTGGTGGTGGGGGGGGGGGGAATTATTTATCAACATCAGCAGTATAGAATTTAATGTATGTCTATCTGAGGTTGGTAGCCAGACGCTTGGGACTAGCCTCGCCTGTGGGAACCGACCTGTGAGATTTATATTTATTTAATTTATATGAATTTATATTTACGTTAATTTATATACTTCGATAGCAATTTGTATAATGATAAGTGGACTGTATTTCTGCAATAATCTCATAATCTCACAAATCGATCCTCTACACATTAGGGGGTTTATTAAATTAATATATATGCAGCCAATCAAACTACAGTATTAACTACATACATTGAAAAGGTTCCTTATCTTATAGTACAGCAGGTTAGTCCACCAGGTATAACTAGGGTGTAGACACCAAATTATCCTCTTTGAGGTAGCTTCCATATCACCCAGTAACTGGTGCACAAATCTTGCTTCCTCGTCTTGACCTGTCAAAAGTGCGCTAGCTGTGAAGCCAGAATCCTATATATGACAAGTATTTCAGAGAAAACTGTACATGGAACATGAAGACCTGGCTTAATTACCTTTAGTTTGAGGCTTCCACGTGCTCTAACCGGATCACCCTATATAATGACATTAATGGCCATAAATGAAAGATACATGGGTTTCGGAAAGAACACTTAACTTGAATTGTAGACATCGTGTTGGAGATGGTACCTTTGGTTTCCATAACACTACGTCCAAGTAAAATTAACAGGAGCCGAATTTGCTCCCGTGTGAGCCTCTGGTCTCAATATAAACAATGGCTGTTTAACACTCCATACTATTGACGTTACTGGCCGACATTGTCCAGATATGATAGGAGCTAAATTTGCTCCACACGTCTCGGAGGTGACACAACAATGGCTCCCTCCTTCCTCACTCACTCCTGGCTTACATTGTCCACATTTCAGAAAGTGATAGAAGGGTCACATTTACTCTACTTTAATATTGATAATTAAGTTAATTTATATAAGATGTTTTTATGATGGTAAAGTCCAAAGACTAATGTATTTAAGAATAATTCCCACCATAATAGGTGGTGAATTATAATAGTATGTGGTGATGATATCCCGTTTTCTATAGACGGTAATTCCACTACAAGTTACGTTTTCTATGGGTAACTTGTTGGTAATACAGCTATTATCTGTATGATTATTAAATGGTGTCGGATTTTCCGACATCGCCCGACTTTGTACGGAAGTTGTTGATGGGAAGGTTCCCAACGTGGGCGGGTCGTAGAGATGGGGTGTGTATGTGGGGAAAGATGGAGCCGGTGTGCCTCTAGGTGAAGCTTGGGGTGGGGGGTGTGGGGGAGGGTGATGGGAAGGGTATGTGTGGGGAAGATGGAAAAGGCGTGGGGGGAATGTAGATGGTGTGTGTGTGGGGGGGGGCTAATGTAGATGTGTGGGGGGAGGATGTGTGTGAAGGGAAACGAGGAGGATATACTAATGTTTTTTGTTTATTGTTAGGCAATGGTTAGGTTAGGTCTTTAGGTTCTGATGGCGATTATTGGTTGTTTTTTTTTGCTGATTTGGGACGACTGGATGCGCCCCGGCGTATCTGTGAAGGGGTAATCGCGAAGCCTAATAGCAAAATGAATGTCTCCTATAGACGGAAACTAATGTGCATTGCGGCAAATAAACACAAGGATGAGCAGATGATTGGTGAGCCCCAGGAGTCCCTCAGGGTGGCCAGCACCGGCCCCGCTCCACACAGAAAACACCGGGGTAGCAAAACTAAAAGCTCGGCCCCCAGCTAAAACGTAAGAGCCATCCAGCACCCTCAGAAAGAGCAGAAGCCAGCCGCCCACCAGGGCTGAGAGCACACTAGAAGGCCACCAAAACCTGCCAACTCCCGGCTCCTCTCGGCCAAGCCGGCGCCGGAGACCGTCCAGCCCGTCCTCCTAAGGTTTCCCATCGTCAAGAAAACGGTCAATTTAAAGTGTCCTCTCCTAACCTACCAGAGGACCACAACCAGAAAACGGAACAGTACGTCACTTTCCCGAGCCGCTTCCATTGTCTAATACGACAATCTTTGGTCTTATGTAACGCATACGATCGAAATGCATCAGTTACATCCCCGCTCCTGTGCCAGGTAAGTCAACTACGGGTTCACTGTAGCCCGAGCAACTTGGAACTTTTTGTTCAGAGGAGCTGAATCTTAAACAACAGCAACAACGATCGAAATGCGACGTTCTCTGTAAGAGGACAGGTTGCACCGTCACATCGCTCCAAGAACCAGCTAGAAAACATTCAAAATCTATCAACTATCCGGTGACCCAAGGCGATATGTGTGCCAGGCGTCGTAACCATCCCGACCTTTGAATAGACACGCCAAACAGCAGTATCAAAACCCAAAATCGCGAAATAGAATGTTATCCGGTGGCCCCCCAGGCGGAGCAGGTGTCCAGACGTCCGCTTGTCATCAAGGTTGAACCAGGAGTCGTTAAGGTTTTTTGGCGATTATTTGTATTTGTAGTACGTGAGTGAAGCACTTACGGCGTTGTGGTTTGAACAAAATTCGTCAGTGAAGCACTTGTTCCGGAAGTGTTAAAACGTCATCAGTTGCGAGTCGTGTGTAAACTGTTTTTCATTCATAAACAGGGGGTTTGCCGGGTGCATGGAATCACTTTTGGGTTTTTGTTTGGAGAACGGGCTGGTTGATGAGGCAGGGCCTGAAATGAATCGACACATGACAGTCGATGAAATGAATTCTTGAACAGTGCTCCGTACTTGCTTTCTGCTCGAATCGGACCTCACTAAACGCTTCACCCATGTACTGTAAATACAAATAATTGCCAGTTAGAACCCAATCATTTAACCTTACCTAATCTACAGTTAACGCGTCACAAAATTATAATATATAATAATTTGTATTTATATATTGGAAAACCAATATATTAAATACATAGTACGTTAAAATTTATGAACGCATCTGTGGGACCGGCCGCTACATGGTCGAGCAAAGCTTGAGGACGAGTTAGTGATGGTGTGACGAGTAGGACGAGTAGTGACGAGTGTGATAAAAACATTTAAAGTCTTGCTAAAAAAAAAAACTTCACAGTGAATATAGGCACTGGACGTTATATGTTATAATGGGCACGGGTTCTTGAATGAATTGCTCCTTGTCTGTCAGTAAGAAATAAGCAAGAAACAAGGGCAAGAAACGCCGCTAATTCGGTACGTGACTAAATGTTGACTCGGAAGAGTATAGTGTTTTGCAGGAAATACCAGTTGGGGACATCCCTTTACTGCTATGGCAAAGTGCCATACATTTCGGCACCTCCGTTTTTTCGAGGGACATAAATCTGCACATTTTGAGGTAAGTTAGTATATCTTTCTGTTATCAAAGCTAAATTTTAGAGGTCAAGCAAATCCAGGCTGCTTGAGGTGTTCATAATTTCCGAGCGTGCAATATTAGGGAAAGTTGTGCGTACAAACAGGTTGGACACTTTCGTATAATAACAGCCCTTGGAACTCTTGTTTAATAGACTCATTGTGCTTTACGGACAAAGTTATTTAAATTAACCGCATTATTGCTACATTATGATGCCCAGTTAGGAAATTATGATTCACAAGTTAAGGAAAGTGTCAGTCGGATAACAAAGTTTATTTGTAGACGGAGAACTACCTAGTAAAAGGTAATTAATTAGAAAAGTTGCGGAATGATCAGTGAAAGTGTAGGTTAGGGTGTATCTGGGTAAGGTCTTTGAGGGTGAGGTAACAGGTGAGGGTGTAAGGCGGAAGTTGCCAGTACTGAGACGTTGGTCGACGGAGACACTTTAGGGGGGAATAGTAAACCAGTCGAGAGAAAATTGGCTTGTTTCGACGTTTCGTCTTAAGGCTCAAGTTTGAGACAATTTTAATAATTTTTCTCGCGTGCCGCGGAGAACAAAATGCCTTAAAAAAATTCTTGACAGTAAATTAATATATTTAACTAAATGAGACTTTTGCCGCTGCACCAATATTATATCAGGCTTGTGTTTGGGTCTGATGCACACAACAATAGTTTCATCACAAAATCAACTTTGTAGTTATACTGTACTTCATGAAGTCCATCACTAAAATTAATAACTCGCATAAATATGTTGATGAAAATTAAACAATTCTGCCATTGCGATATTTTCAGACATTTAAATGTTTTAGTAATGGAATTGCAATATTTCAGAACTTTATTTTCCGAGCTAATCCAGTCACTAACCTATCTCTTAAAGTATTTTCTAGTTCAGAGCTTATATCGACAAAATTTTGTGTCTAAACTGGGCTGCTTTGCAAATCGATTATAGTTGCACCTAAAAAATTTTGTAATCAATCTACTGTAATATTTTCAAATTCAGTTAACTCATGTTACAATCAATGTATACCCTATGAATCTTGTATTTGTTCAAATATCATGAACTGCGTAAATCTTAATAAAAAAAAATTTCTGCATGTGAATGGATAATAATAGAAAATTGCATTTAAAGGCTCTGTATGTTTGTTTTATCGTGAATTACAAGATATCACGTGTTTTCTTGGTTTGGCAAAGACTTAAAAGTGCCGTTGTCAACAGTAAGTTAATGAGTTCATGGTATATTTCAGCTCCACGAAAATGGAGCAACAATTGCTAGTCTAGCTAACGATGTAACATCAGTGTTCTCATCAAGACAGATGGATATACACTTATATGAACCAATATCTTTGTTAATGTTCTGCTGTGTTAGTTTTCATTGTAATTAAATTGAATCTTTTTATTGTGTTTCTTCTCGCTGGTAAATCCCTAACGCGCTGAATATTGTTGACCCTTTTTCTGGAAACAGAAAAAGTTAAAAAAGGAGTGAAAATTCCACCCTCCTTTCCAGTTAAGCACTTTTGGGTCAGGTGGATGATGTGCGTGTCTTGATCAGTAGCACTGTTGGGTCTGGCAAGTAACATGATGTTAAACCGCACGGACCGAATCTCACTAGGCAAGCGAGACCTCGAGTCTTACATGTGGGCGTAGTGATCTTAACAGTGGTACACCAAACATGTGGGCGTAGTGATCTTAACAGTGGTACACCAAACATGTGGGGGTAGTGATCTTAACAGTGGTACACCAAACATGTGGGGGGTAGTGATCTTAACAGTGGTACACCAAACATGTTGGCGTAGTGATCTTAACAGTGGTACACCAAACATGTTGGCGTAGTGATCTTAACAGTGGTACACCAAACATGTTGGCGTAGTGATCTTAACAGTGGTACACCAAACATGTTGGCGTAGTGATCTTAACAGTGGTACACCAAACATGTTGGCGTAGTGATCTTAACAGTGGTACACCAAACATGTTGGCGTAGTGATCTTAACAGTGGTACACCAAACATGTTGGCGTAGTGATCTTAACAGTGGTACACCAAACAAAACAGACTGGTGACTTTTGTCAACAAATGACAATAAAGATATTTTTAGCTGACCCGACAATCTTACAAATATGGGAAATTAATAGGATTTGTATAAAATTATCGAAACTCAAAAAAAGTATAATTTTCTAAAAGCTAAATCTTTGGCTGATTGTTAGAAAATAATAATTTTCTTCAGTTTAAAATAATTTAAAGGAAACCAAGATTTTCATTGCACATGACTTCAAAGGTCTCCAAAACTTTCTCATATCTCTCCTCACCGCCCGTTCTCACTCCCACATCAAGTGGCGAACATATTAACGACAATTGCTTTTTTTACCCATTTACAAAATAAAACAACTTCGATAGCTCAGTGTAGAGAATCGTGACTAGAATTAGAGCAATAAACAGATTTACAGGATATGATGTTCTTGTTTTAGATTAACTGAATTACAGAGCCATATACTGATGCTGTGGGCGATATCAGAACATATTTGGTTCTGATAATGGACCCCTAAATGATACTTAAGCTAAGTAACTTGTATTTGTTACTTAGCTGTTACCTAGTGACATTTACTTAAACACTTTTTAATTTGTTAAAATATCAGTTTTGTGTTCATAAACTTTACACGTAACTTTACTTACTTCAAATTTTTTAAGTCATTTATCAACATTTTTGGGGTTAGTGGGATCTAGAGTAACAACAGCACAGGTACTGTTCAATCGTTCAATCAATCAATTATACAAGTAAAGTGAGAGCGGGAAGTGGGTACAGACGGAACAATAGGCTGTTGAGGAAAGGCCGTAGTTGAAGAGTCGTGCCAGGGCTGTAGGCCTACAAGCTCTAGGCCTTGAGTTCGGGTCTTGAGTTGAAATTTCAAGGGCATTTGATTTTTTATTGTTGCCGCCGAAAGCCACATGGTTACACTACGCAAGCGACTCAAAAGAGCAAAATATCCCCCCCAGAAAAAAACCCACATCATCCAACTACAATACGATGGAGTATTGGATGAGTATTGAGTGCACAAAAAACTAGCCAAAGGCGGCTAGTTTATTGTGCACCCCATAGTCATCCTGTGAGCGGTAGCGCAAAACAGCATTACAGAGGGCACAAAAGGTCTTTATCACACCTCGACTTTGATTATTACATAAGCAATTTCCTCTATCCTTCACACCTTATAATTACAATGTCAGCTAGTTACAGAGAATGTTCTATTTCAAGAGCTATATATTTACAGTAAGTCATTATACATTAATGGTAGGTCTTATCGCTAATACATAATTGTTTGAGCAATGGAGATATTACAGAGTCGTAGGGGAGCTACTCTTTATTATTAGTTCTCACAATTACACTACTTGTTTCTTAATCTCATATGTCGTTTATCTACTGGAAGCGAAATATGGATACAGTGCAAGGATTTCAGTTATTTTATCCTAAGTAATAAGATAGGTTTCCACATCATACAACGCGAGTTTAGATTTATCTCTAAATGCTAAATTTTACTACAATCCAAGATATAGTGTTCGAGTGTGTATCCCTGTCTTTGTCCACACACTTTACACTTTACCTGGTTACCTGGTTGATGGGGTTCTGGGAGTTCTTCTACTCCCCAAGCCCGGCCCGAGGCCAGGCTCGACTTGTGAGAGTTTGGTCCACCAGGCTGTTGCTTGGAGCGGCCCGCAGGCCCACATACCCACCACAGCCCGGCTGGTCCGGCACTCCTTGGAGGAATAAATCTAGTTTCCTCTTGAAAATGTCCACGGTTGTTCCGGCAATATTTCTTATGCTTGCTGGGAGGACGTTGAACAACCGCGGACCTCTGATGTTTATACAGTGTTCTCTGATTGTGCCTATGGCACCTCTGCTCTTCATTGGTTCTATTCTACATTTTCTTCCATGTCGTTCACTCCAGTACGTTGTTATTTTACTGTGTAGATTTGGTACTTGGCCCTCCAGTATCTTCCAGGTGTATATTATTTGATATCTCTCTCGTCTTCTTTCTAGTGAGTACATTTGGAGGGCTTTGAGACGATCCCAATAATTTAGGTGCTTTATTGCGTCTATGCGTGCCGTATATGTTCTCTGTATTCCCTCTATTTCAGCAATCTCTCCTGCTTTGAAGGGGGAAGTGAGAACTGAGCAGTACTCAAGACGGGACAACACAAGTGCCTTGAAGAGCACAACCATTGTGATGGGATCCCTGGATTTGAAAGTTCTCGTAATCCATCCTATCATTTTTCTGGATGTCGCAATATTTGCTTGGTTATGCTCCTTAAACGTTAGGTCGTCAGACATTATTATTCCCAAATCCTTTACATGCTGTTTTCCTACTTTACTTCATCTAGATCCCTATACAAGCCGAACTGCCAGAGATACTTGTAGCCAAGTCTTATTCGAGCTGTGACAACATCTGTTAGACATATGCCTTCCTTTACATCGAACAAAAATTATTCTGAAGATAGATTCCTTAAATATCTCTAAAATACTTTCCCGTGCCGGGAATCGAACCCGGGCCTCGCGGGTGAGAGCCGCGTATCCTAGCCACTAGACAACACGGGATACAATCATGGCAGCCGTAAATAAGATACCAAACTTAATCTGGTTGTGAAAGTCTTCAGCCTTGGTTTGAATTCAGATTGTGACCTGCAATGTCTTCTCCGTCAGGGATTTTTAGGTATAATTAATAAATAATTACAATTACGTTGACTCAACATTTGTAATTAATCGTAAGGCGATGTTACAAAATATATTTATTTTACTTTTGTTTAAATTAATTCCATATACATATGTTGTAAACCTCGATGGCGCAGTAGGCAATTTCTCAAGTTCTGTCTTAATTATTAAGAATATTTAATTCTTAATTAAAAGAATATTTAATTTAATATATTTTTTTATTGTGAATTAAAATAAGTCATTACATTAATGATTAGTTTTTTTCCAAACTAACATAACTGTGGAAACAATTTATACAAAACAAAATCCAGTAATTGAGTGGTTCATTGAACTTTGTCCAGTTTTGTGAACAATTTATTATACCAGGTTAATGTTTCTCCTCTTCTGACAGCTCTCTGAACGACAGTCCCATCCAAGGTGTCCTTGGTGGTTAAGATAACTGGCGTTCGTGGGAGTGATTTGTGTGACTGGTTCTCTTACCTGTTTAGAGTAACGTGATCTTCCTATTGTTTCTTGGCTATTGTTTCTTAAATTTGATGATGGTACGCTAGGTGTTCCTTGGATACAGAGAGTACCTTGAGATACCTTGAGCTGAAGTTTTGTTTGTAATTTTCACTGTTTTGGTGGTAATTTCCAGAGGTTTGTGGGGCCTTGAATTATATGTGGCTGAGGACGACTTTCTGTAGCCTCATCTCGGGATGCTCATACAGTTTTCTGTTGAGGTTGCTTATTATTCATAATACTGTTAATGATTCTTGTTGGTATTAATCTATATCCATAAAATAAAAAGTTTGTCCGAAATAAGAGCCCAGACGCTTAGAGCTTGCCTCGCCAAACTTCCAAGATGACACATGGAGGTATATGTGTGTCACAGGCTAGTCTAGGTTAGCCCAAGTACCATCTTTTAAGAAATGTCGGCATCTATACCGACCCTGCTACTGTATTTTCATAATGTCTGAAATCGGAGATTTGTATTACTGTATTTTGTGATTGTTTAGTGGGTAGTAGTACTACATTTTCTGAAAGAGAGAGAGAGTAGGAAAATGAGGGAGAGGAAAAGAGAGAAGGGAGTAGAGGGAGGAGAAAGTTGGAGAGAGGGGAAAGTTGGAGAGAGGGGGAAAGTTGAGGAAGGAAGGTAGAGAGGATGGGAGCGGGGACTAACAGAGGGTGTGCTAGGGACAAGAGATGAGAGTGGGAGAGGGGAAGGGAGAGATTCGGCCATAGCCGGGCACACCGTCTAGAGTCATTATAAATTTATTATAGTTTTGTTATAAATCTTGACTCTAGATTCTAGATAAAGCAAAGAGATTAAAGCCGTGGGGTGAGCCTTTGTTTGTTCACGCGGACCACTGAGAGCAGTAATAACTTAAATGAAGCTGACTCACTCTCCCGCAATTTACACTCCAAATATCACTGAAATTTTCACATAAAAACTTTAGTGTGTTTGTGTATGTGTGTGTGTACTCACCTAGTTGTGCTTGCGGGGGTTGAGCTCTGCTCTTTCGGCCTCTCAGCTGTCAATTAACTGTTCTTTCTTTTCTTTGATGTCCATAGGGAATGGAAAGGATGGGGGAGGTAGAGGGATGGGGAGATGAAATTCAGGAAGAGGATGCGGGTGTAGAGAGAGAGGAGGTTTGAAAGTTCGGTGGCCTGTCCACCATGGGTTG